CGTAATTATTTGGAATTTTTATTAAAATCTTTTTTGATAACTTACAAGTAAAAGCACCTAACAGCTATTCAACTGATTTAAGAATCTGTCGACTCTATTAAGGTATATTTATATATATATTTATGCCTATATAGATATTATTCATTCCCTCTAAGCAGCTTTGAGCGAGCTGAACTTAAGCCTATTCAATCGATCAATGAAAGCAAATCATTTATGTTATTCAACGTAGATCTATTTCTGTTCACGAACTTCTTTCACTTCTGGCACTCACTTATGTACACTTGTTACACACAATCACAATCGTCGCGCAGCTAAAGCAGAGAAAGATGAGAAGGAGATTTCGGCCTCAGATTTGCATACGTTAAAGATGTCTGAGGCCTAAGACAAAGGATCCAAAAATAGCTGTCAAAAGCATATTTTATGTCTGTTTTCTTGGTATTTTGTTGTTTGCAAAATACCAAAAAAAAAACGAGTGAAAAGGGAAAAAAGAAAAGATAAAAAAGCAAAATGAAATCAATTTCAAAATTTAAACTGATTTGCCCTTCATATTTTGTTTGTTTAGTATTTACAGTCGTTTTTATCGATGATATAATTCACAAGCGAACAATAACTAGCTACATAATGATAATACTAATGCTGATAATGATGATGATGCTGATGTTGATCATGATAATGGAGCTTCATCATGCTGTTCATACTTAAGATGTTTCTAAATATATTGGCAAAAAGACGCTTTAAATAGCTTTCAAATGTAATACCCAAGCGAATCGATTGGAAATGGGGGATGGGATTGAAATCGCTCATATATCGTGTGTATATACACATATATATGGGTGTATATATTTCTTTTTGTTTTCCTGCAGCCTCAGCTTGACAAATGTCAACGAACAGATTGCCGCCCCAAAACAAAACACAAGGCAGCAGCCAAACAAAAGCCGCCAGACATTCGAAAATTGTATTGTTACAAATATTTCGTTTGACAATAGACGGGGAGAGAGTGAGTGAGAGAGCGAGAGGGAGAGGGAGAGAGTGCGTGTGCGAAAGGGAGCGACTAGTTAGAGACTACACCTGTCTGTCGTCTGCGTCTTTATCAAAGTCTTACGGTACTTTAAGTTTAGAAAAAAAAACATCAAAAACAAAAAACTTTATAAAGCCCAAAAAGAAGTTTTTTTCTGGTCTAGAGTTCAGATGTCAACAACAACAAATCGATTTGTTCAGAACTGACTTGTTTTTTTTTTTCTTGGATTGTGTCGGCATTTTTTCTCTTCTGTCTCTCTCTCAGTTGAAGGTATTTTATTTATGTTTTTCTTTACGCTTCACCGTTAAGCTAACTGCACATTCGCTTTGTCCGCTTATTGGCGCTTATTGTTTTAGTTGATATCTGACATGATTTGTTTTTCTACCTCGACCTGGCGGCCCCTCAAGAAATGTTTTAATTATAGACAACTTTGCAGCTCTGCCGCCGCATTCGACTTACCTGACAACTTGATATATGCGCTTGAATATGCAGATATATACAGACATAGATATATCTGAAATATTTAAGTTAATATTGTAGAAGTTTCTTGGGCCATGTCACGAAGCCAAGCCGCATGGAAACCTGGCTACAAACGCCCTGCGGCCTATATCTGCTCCTGTCAAAGCAGATTGTATTTGGCACTTCAGTGTGGCTGGTGGCAGCAAGGCTGCATGGAAGCGTTCCCAAATTTATCATTGCAATTTCAATTGTCTTTCTTGTGGAGTTCATAGACCAGACGAAAGATGACTTGATTGACATCTCTAACTATGCATGGATTTGAGCAGGATCAACAGCTAAGACGATTTAATCCTGTGCAGCTAGCTGTCCATCCGTCTGCCAGCTCATCTGTCTCTCTCTCTCTATCCCTCTCCCTCTGTGTTTGTTTATCCTCTATCTATAGCTCTCGCTAAACAGAGTTGCTTTAATTTCATTTTCCATACTCTGCCCAATAGGGAATCGACATAGCTGAGCCAAGGCCCAAAACAGACTTTCATGACAGGGTCTTTGCTCTAGTAGAAGCAGTTAAGGCCGCGTTAAAATTCCAATTATTTGTAAATAGTTTCCAAGTTTATTGCAATAATAAGTAAATCGATTAATTTTGATGAGCAATAAAAAATAAAGCTGACTTTAATGAGCAGCTCTGCTTGGCTTGAGTGCTACAGTAGTGTCTGAATTTGACTAATTAATTGATAATAGAATCGGTTGAGCTGCATGCATATTGAAGTGGGACGGTGATTGGGCCTGGGGCTGGGAATCGGAATGGGTTTTTGGACTTTGGGCAGCTTGGAAGCCTGAAGACCGTTTTAATGGACCATCAAACGCAGCAGCAGCAGCAGCAGGAGCAGCCGCCTAATCATTGTTTATGTTTATGACGACTAAGCCAAGCCAGCGACTGGCAAGTAGCAAGTAGCAAGTGGCAAGTGGCAAGTAGCATGTGGCAAGTAGCAAGTGGCTGATATTACGCAATCGCAATCAAGTGACCGAGTGTTAAGAGTAGAGTGTTCCCTGAGCGGCCTTCCCCATGCAAGTGAAATTTATGCAAATGGCTTTGGCAATTCGTTTGCATTGCGCATTTGCGCAATTACCTGACCAACTGGCCAAATGATCGGCAGCGGCAGCGGCAGCATCACCTGCTGTGTGTGGCATTCGATTGAACTCGAGTGTGCCAGTTACGCCGGATAGCGAACGATTGCGGCGTACACGTGACAAAACAATTGACAGCGGGCGGCAAAATTGAAATTGAAAAGCGTTCGAAATTGAAATGCGCCCACAGCTACAACAACAACAACAACAACAACAATTGAGCACTGGACATGCAAATAAGCAGAACTAGACGAAAAAAGAAAACAAAAAAGAAACTGAAAAAAACTAAATTTCATTGTGGCTTGCTCAATTGTGGCTGCTGCTTGCATTGTCTTTGCCATAAGGCACAGTGGTTCCATGACTATTTGCACTGCAAATAATATTTAGCTGCTGGTCAGCCAGTTGATGTTAAGCTATCAAGCTGACTGCCAGTTAAATGTAACTGTGTCCTTGTCAATTTGACAATAACTCGCTGTTAAGCTAAGCTGCTGTCAAAGTTTATCTACTGTTTCTGTGAAAGCTAACCAACAATTGACAATAACCTATTACTGAAAAAGTTATTGTCAACTGTTGTAACAACTTTTTGTAACAGAGAAACTATAGTCGACTGCTTGTCAAACTAACTTGCAGTCAAAGGAGTGGGCAAAGTTAACGTTTCATTTGGATATCTAGTACAGTTCATGTCAAGGCCAACAAGCAGTTGACAAGCACTTTTCAGTTTCAGATATATCGCTGTTACAGTACATCACTTTGCTTGTTCCCATAATGATAACTATTTATGCTTCCCGTCAAATTTAACTAGCGATTGAAATTCTTTTTTTTTAAACGATAATTGATTAAGACACAGAACTTCAATTGAACTACTTGTCAACAAGCTGTTGTCAATATTAGTTAAATCTAGTTGCGAGTTATCGAACTTCAATGTCAAAGTTAACAAGCAGTTGACAACAGCTTGCTACTGACACAACACAACTTTAGTCAACAGTTAAATGTTGTTGCTTATCTTAGTGCCACAATGACATCTTCGTCTGTCAATTTTGACAAGCAGCTAAAAAAATATTACCAAATACCAAGAAATCTCGATTCGCGGAGCACTGTGCGAGGAGGCCACGCAACGGCATTTGCGGACTTGCCGCATGCAAATTGCGGCCAAGCGAGATGTGTCAACAACTCTCGACGATCGCATTCAAATTTGGCGTCCAGTATAGTCCAGCTAACCCTGCCCCCGTGGCGCTGTTCGCTTTAGGGCAATGCACGCGCCAAGGCTTTTCCTTGCATCGAACCGCTAATCGGCTGAATGGGGCATGGAAATTGAAATTGGAAATTGGAGCTATATATTTATATATGTAAATATATATATATATATGTATACGAGTATGCATGCTTCTATATATAGATGGAAATGATACGCACGCCAGACGCAGGTGACCGACTCCCCAAATGCAACGTGATGTGAGAAAGGCCCACTCAGGCCGATCTCTCTGTGCATTGTCTTCACATAGAGGCAGAGGCGTAGCTGATGTTGATAAGTTGATACTGTGCACGTAGCCCAAAAAAGGATGCTAAGCAATATTTTTTTTTGTTTAATGTTTACTAAATAAATACTTAGCACGCACGGATATTATTGAAAATATTAACACAAAGCTATGCGGCTTAATGCATTATCGAAATCGATTGCATTCCATGTAACTTGTTCAGACTTGAATGAACTCGTTGCGGTTTCCGCTTAGCTCCCTTTTTATTCTGTTTGAACTCTGTAGTTGTGCTCGATCAATCTTAATGGCCTGGCCTCACACAATGCCTCGGAATATGGGTAGATGCGTATAAAAATTTACGACCCTTAATTGGTAAACGATTCGGCGTTTGGGGCAACAGAGCGCGAGATTTTAGATACGAGAAGAATGCAGTTCGTCGCTGCCAATTGGGCAAATGGCAGCTGGCAGCAGGTTCGCTGTTCTGTAACTCGTTACAATTGCAATTTCGCTGGAGACAACTAAATCGTTTTGCTGCTGCGTGTAAGCAGTTCATTTACTCGTTTGAATCTACTCGTTACTTTTTGATGTAACTTTTTGCGCTTGGCGATTTACTCGTTGCTTTCCATCCGTTACTCTTTTCAGTTTATAAATATTTTCGCTACTTATCGATTGCCTGGTTTTGCTATTCACTCGTTACTTTTGCTATTACTCGTTGTTAGGCAACGAAATTCTTTTAGACTTGTCGCTGTCAACTTGAGCGCTTTTAACTCGTTGCCATCTGCTGTTTCACTCGTTACTTTTTATTCGCTGTCTTCTTACCTTTGACACGTCTCAATTGACGAGTTGATCACAGCTCGATGCTTTTCACTCGTTTCATCACATTCCTTGCCATTAACTAAGCTGCTCAAGCAACTTTGTTACTCGTCAGTGACTCGCTGCAAATGCCTCGTCAAATTTTATTTACAGCTTACAGAATACATTGCATTTTACTCGAATCTTACAATTGTTGTTTTCTCGTATTAATGTATTAAAATTCTATGTATCACTAGCTGTTGTTGCACTTTTGTGGCTAGAACCTGGACTAGTTGCCGTTTGCTACTCGTTGCCTCGTGCTTTGTTTCCTCTGGTGCCGGTGCTGCTGATCCTGATTTCCGTCAACTGTTGCTTCGCCATACCTATCTTCCTCGCTCGTTAGGTGTAACTTGTTTTCGCTAAATTTAGAAGTAGAACAACATTGCCAGCACGACTAACACCTGGATTATGGCATTTGGCTTTGACAGCGAATGGCGGACAGCTGAATCATTATCGAAGGTATAGTGAATGATACCGCGCTTCGTTCTCAGCGTGTTTGTCTCCAGATCTGACTGAGAGACACCATCACGCTCCAGTACACACTCGTGCATCAGATCATCTGTCAGTTGGATGTGAAATGGAAAGCAATACATACGAGCCGATCGTAGTTTGATAGTGCGCTTGAAGCCGTGCTCATTGTAGCATATGTATTCATTAACCTCCAGGAGTTGAATGCTGTGGCAGTAGTGCAATTGCGACTCCTTCAAGGACACTAAAATATGATCCAATGATTGTGGCATAAAGAGGGCCATACGATCAGTTTGTTTCATGAATGTATCGCGGAATTTCGTATATGCCACCAGCGGGAAATTCCCTTTGCATTTCTGAAACATCACCTCTTTGGAGTCCTTTAGATATTTGCAACGTTCGGGCATCTCGGGTTGATAGGGCGCCTCCGTTGAAGTGGAGCCAGCGCCGTGCAATGGCAATAGCAATAAAAGTCGCAGCATCAGCCGCAATCCCAACATGATACAAGCAATGAATTTGGCCCAAAATAATACATATATATAAGCATAAATACATATCTATAGATGTATACAAATGTATGTGAATATTGTGATTTTCATAAGTAACTTTAAAATTAATTTTAAAATGAAACTAGATTGCTATGTGAGATGTCAGCCCGATGCTAAAGAGCAATTTGATATTATAACAGCTAGTTCCTAGGTAGAGGCTGAAAATCCGATTGATGATAACGCTTTTTATAGTATAACAGTTTCTCAGAGCTTAATAGTATAAAAATTAAACAGTTTTTCAGTACGTATTAGTATAACACCTTTACGGTATAACAGTTTAAACGTATAAAAGTATCTCAGTTTTTAATGGGATAACAGTATAAAAGCTTTTCAGCACATATTAGTATAACAACTTTACAGTATAAAAGTTTTACAATATAACAGCTGCGCTGTTTATAATAGTATAATTGTATAACAGTTTCTTTGTATGTAATAGTATAACAGTATAATAGTTTCTAAATATAACAGTTACATTTTAATGGAAGCACAACAGTATAACAGTAAAAGATATATATTAATATAACAGTTTTACAGTATAACAGCTACAACAGTATAATAGTATACCCTGTATCAGCTATTACTGTCTTACGGCTATAACTGTATAACACTTTTAGATTATAGTTGTATGCAAGTTATAAAGTACTGTTAGTTTCTAAAGGTACCAGTCACAGAAAAGCAGCCAAAGAATTTTTGAAAAAATGTTGCTTTGAAAGCTTGAAAATTCTGGAAGTATTTATAACACGAAGTCCTTAAATAACTATTTGGATATGGTAACTACAGGTTTGCTCGCTTTGAAATAATGAGAGCATAACTTTTACTTGCTTTCAGCATGCGAGATCTGAAAATGTACAATTTAGGCATTTATTTCAAAGCTTATTCCCATTTGCCGTTCGAATACGCATCGTCGTAGTCCAAAGCGCAAATGCCATGCAGTGCAACGTGTGAGTTTTGAGTCATTGGTTCGTGACTTGGTCGAATGTTGATTCAACTGTGCGAGATGCCAAAATGTCATTACTCACAGAGAGCTCAAGCGCTGATTTTGCTGATTTGCTGATTTAATTGTTTAATTATAGAAAATTATTTCAATTTAACGATCCAGCTGCTGAGAAAGAGCAATAGAGGGTGGCCGTATGGACAGGCGGCAGGGAGTGGGAGGTGGACTGATCGGCAGTCAACAAGTGGTAGATAGATACGACTCATTCTGATTGAATGTAGTCCAGTCCAATGCTCCATTGAGACGTTGTCTCTGCATACGAATGGGCCACTGCGAGTCCGGCTAATGAGTGTCAAGAGCGGACACGACATGACATGACACGACATGGCCAGCTATTGCGAATACATGAACAACAGCAGCAGCAGCAGCAGCAGCAGCAGTTCCTTTACCTAAGAGCAGATGCACAGAGGCATATTGACTTTGTTAGAAAACTTGTAACATGTAAGCTCTAAAGCTGACTCGTCACACTATCAGCTTGACGTTCTGTGAAGCTGTGTTCATGAAAGCAATAGTGAAAATCTAGATTGTTTCCTATTTTTTGCTTAGAATAAAATGAAATGAAGGCCAGCCGTTCATTAAATTAAAAAATAACAAATTCTACTATTTTTATGAGCTGCTATATTTAATTTTTAAGTCTCTCCCAATGGGATAAATTTTTTAAATTTGTCTTTACTTACATCCTATAAAAAGATTTTTACAATATTTTGTAAAATTTTCATTTTTCCTTAGGGACGTTTCAAAGTTAGGGTATTCACGCTGCGACCAGCCCATGGCAGGCGCAGCTGTTGCTGCATTAATATGCATTTAAATGCTCTGCGAGCTGCACTGTTTTGTTGGAGTAATTTCATGATTAATGCAACGGCATATTTAAATATCAATGTGGCAAATTGTTGGACCCCGGTTTCATTTGCTCAGCACAGCAGTCGCTACTGTTGCTCCCCGAAGTTCTTTCAGATTGACTTTTCCGGGCTGCAAGCAGCATCCAATTGATGGATATGCAGCTCTATCTCCAGCATCTATCTAAATATATGATTGCATAATCCGCTTGTCACATTGCGGCCTGCTGCTGCGGTTGCTGCTGCTGCAGCTGATTTGATGTATTAATGCCATTTACAGTTGCCGCCGTTGATAACAAGCTGTGAGAGTCAAAACAAAGCACTTGATAAATGCTGCACTTAGAGCCATGTGATATTGCATATCATGTGTACGATAAGTTCGAAATCAATGGAATGATTATCACATTTCATCTCAATTTGACTCTGACTAGTCTTTGGCACATGGAAAATTTCGAATGAGCTCATGAAATCGGTCGGTGAATAGAGATAGTTATCAATCAAGCTAGAATATCAGTAACTTAGTAATATTGTAGTATAATTGGTATTGAGACTATGTCGACTTGTTTGATAATTATATATAGTAGCATAAAGCCAGAAAGGAAGCTGAAGAATGCACAAGATATGTGCGATGTGCAAGCAGCGCAGCTTACTCTGAATGGATGAGGCTGAAATATTCATATTTCTGTTAACTGCATTCATGCGATGCATATTAAAAGACCAATATAATATATAGTTATGCAAGATCTGTTCAAATACCTGTTGAGTGTCTAAATTGGGGAAAGATCATAATGAACAGAACTGGCACAGACAAAGCCTAGGCAAGTATTCAAAGTTGTTATGCTTAGCCAAAAACTCTACAAAAACTACGATATGAATGCTCCCTAGTCTTATCTAGATAACCAAGCTGCTCAGACTTACATTTTCTCAAGTCTTATTTGGATAGATAAAATTCCATTCCAAATTTTACGTAAAATAAAACAAAATAGCTCAAAATGTTCATTAAAGTGTCAACAGAGCTTCATTGACGAAGCGAACTAGGCGACAATGAAACATTATCAAGCACCACCGAGCACCACTAAGCACCACCCGTTGCGTTTGTGCGCGCATTTTATTAAGCAATTTATTAAGTTATTGATTCTGTCTGGGAATTGGAATGGAGCTTAATTAATTTCATATTTCTAAACCCGACAGCAGCACCAACAGCAGCAGCAACAATGACACAAACAACAACAACAAAAACTACAAGATAATATTTTACTTAACGGCACTTTGTGTGTGTGTCTGCTGTGTGTGTGATTTGTTTATTTACATTTATTTATGCATTTTGTCGATGAAAACAAATTAATTTATCGATTTTGTCATTAATGGGATTTCCTTCCAACGACATTTTATTTATTTTCGTCTCTCTTTCATTTTTTTTTTAAATTTTTCAGTTGACGTCTGGCTGAGTACGGCGGGGTAACATGCCTTTGTCAACAGGTTGGTTACATTTCCTCAAATATTCGAAGAGCTCTTGATTATATGAGTAGCATGACTATGTTATAAGCGTTAACAGGCTTATGAGCGAAGAAGATATAGAGAGGCGGAAAAGGACAAAAAGAAGGACAGACAAAGAAGCAGGTGAGAGAAAGAATGAGAGAGACGCAAAGATAGGAGAGAGAGAGAGAGAGGAGAGAAAAGAGAGAAAGGATACTGAAAGAGACTGACAATGAGGAAGAGAAAAAAAAAGACAGTGTGGAACCGAAAGTGAGAGAGAGAACGGAAGAGAAAGTGCACGATATATAGAGAGTAAAACACACAGAAAACTAATATCAAGAGATGTGCCTCCACAAAACATATTACAAGTGAGTTTTAGAAATTGAAGTCAATTTTATTCAAAGCTAAAAAAAATACCAAAATTAGTTAGGGTATTCACATCGACGGCTTTGCAGCATTATGGTGTTCTTCTTTATTCGTTTGCTTTTTCATTTCCCTTGAACACTCACACACTCTCTCTCCCTCTCTTTCAGTATTGCGCTCCCTCTCTCGTGCGCTTGCTTCTCTTGTTGATTTGTTTGTTATGCTCCGCCACAGGTGGCACTTGCCATGCGCATCACCAATTTCCAAGCAGTCAGGCACCTGCAGCAGAAGCTTCTGCGCTCGCCTCCAACCCCCCACAGCCCTGAGCAGTGTGTGGGGAGTTCTGCCAAATTTGCGTTGAGCTGTCGATCGGAAGTTGGTTCACCATTTACGACAACTGTCAACGTTCTCCATATTAATTATGAGCTTTTTTTACCATTTAATGTTCAGTCAAAAGCCGCACCAAGTCTGAGCACTTCCTGTGCCCCTTGGCTGCCCCTGGACAGCACTTGGAAATTGTGTCACGCGACGCGTATCAAAATTAGTTCGCAAAGCTCTAGTCGAGACGCACTTGAAATGGGAGGCGTTGTAGGCATCGTCGACGCCGGTTTCGAAGTCATTCAATATGCGCACATTGTGCCACTTACTCGAAGTTCCCTTAACTTATCAACATCATTTGTTTGGCCTATTGTATACGATTATGAGCTCGTTGGGGATATTGCACTTGACTTGATATACCCTGTAATGGGGCAACGTGATACAATCCATCGTGGCAACGCCTTTCTGCAAACCTATGACCAATGCTAACTTGCGATCTCTATGAGCTGGGACTGTGCCAATTGTAAAAGTAAATCTAAGATGAGTTGAAGATATTAGAGATAAGCTCTAAAGCTAGCTAAACTCTTTCCAACTAAAAGCTTAAAATCTATGAAATTTGGTACGTGAATATTTCTATGCAAATGAGGCAAGGTTCTGAGCAATTTCGGCCATTGTTGTAATTAGTTTTAGGGTATCTGCCTAGTCGCTTGCCTGAAGCTTTTGCAATCGACCTTCCACTTGGCTGTCGCGCAGTTCGTTGCTTTCAGCCAGCGGCAAAAGTTGATTTATTTTTTAACTTTTGTTGATTGATACGGCGAAACTGCTGAAAGCACCGTTAAACTTTTGCCATTGCTTTGACATTTGACATCTGATATTTGACACATGGGACATGACACTCGATGCTCCGGGGGGATTTTTCGGTGTTTGTTGAAAATCTTTGCCTCATTAATCGCTCGCAATTAAGCGCCACTTTATATCAAATTCACACTTTTTATTTTTGTTGCCTCTGCTGTCGCTGCTGCTGTTGTTGTTGTTGTTGTTGGTGTTGTAGTTTGATTGTTTGTTAACACAGCATCGCTGTGGCCCTT